AATAAATAATAAAGAGTAAGACATATTGCATGCTGGTATGTTGTGTATATATAGTTATTCAGTTTGTGGGTGTGTGAGGTCAACTGAGGGGTGTCTACTGGGAGCAATGATGGTTGTACAGTCTGACAACAGCAGGAAGGAAGGACCTGTGTTAGTGCTCTGTCATGCACATGGGGTGAAGCAGGCCATTATGCTCATCTGTGATGATTCCAATGATCGTAGAATCATCAGAGAATGTTTGCAGGTGACAGTTCAGTGAGCTGTACATACAGTCTGCAGTGTACAGGGTGAAGAAGAACAGAGCCAGGATAGTCCCCTGCGGGACCCCTGTGCTGCAGACTACCCTGTCAAACATGCAGTCCCCTGCCCTCACATACTGTGGTCACTTGGTGAGGTAGTCCAGAATGCACTTTGATAAATGGAGGTTCATCCCTCGGAAGCCCCGGTTGAATGGTTTTAAAAGCACTGGAGAAATCAAGGAACACAATTTGCATAGCGCTCCCAGGCTTCTCCAGGCTCTGTGCAGGAGGTATTTAATGACATTAACTCAATACCAGGCTGGTAGGCATACTGAAGCGGGTCCATATATGAGCTCACCAAAGAGCGGAGGTGGGCAAGAGCCAGTCTCTCCGGTGTCTTCATCAAGTGCCACCAGCCTGTAGCTGCTGACATCCTTCGGGTGCTGCATCTTCGGCACTGGTGCCACACAGGATGTTTTCCACAGCTGTGGCACTCTCTCTAGCCTCAGGTTCATTTTGAACATTTACCCAACTATCCCACACAACTGCTCTGCGGAGGACTTAAGAAACCTGGGGCTGATACCATCCGGACCTGCAGCCTTCCTCACTTTGATCTTCCTAAGCTTGTCTCCCACCTGGGCTGCTAACAGGGGGACCAGTGGGGGGTGGCTATGTGCTGGAAGTTGTGGTCAGAAGGTATGGGAGCGGGCGCAGGGCAGCTCACTGGGAGTGCAGAAGAGGTGGGCTGCAGCAGGGATGAATGTGTGGGGGGAGGGGCAAAAGGGCAATCAAATCAATTGAAAAACAGATTGAGATCATTCACCCACTTCTGGTCCCCTCCAGCCTGGGAGTTGGACTTATTATGGCCAGAGGTGGTTTTGAGGCCTTTCCAGACTCCACTGATATTGTTCTGCTGCAGCTGTCCCTCCATCCTCCTGTAGCTGGCCTTCCCCTCCTGGATCTTCTCCTTCAGTTTTCTCTGCCCTTTCAGTGTCTCCTTGTCTCCTGATCTAAAGGCTCTTGTTTTCTCCTTTAAGAGAGCCTTTATATCAGGGTTGATCCATGGTTTGTTGCTGGAGAAGTACTAAACAGTCCTAGTGGGCACAGTGATCTCCAAACAGAAGTTAATATTGTCCGTTATGCAGTGTGTCAGACTGTCAGTGTCATCCCGCTACTGATCACACAGCTCTTCCCATACAGTTGTGTCAGACAGTAAAACACTGAACAGAAAAGCAAGGATAATGCAGACAGTGGTAAAATGGAATAAACAGATACATGAACTAAGCATAAATTAAATATCACACATAATGTATGGTAGATGTGAGGAAATGTTAAGTGTACTCACAAAACTATAATTATCCACCCACTGCTGCAACCAGTGCCTCTCCTGTTATGGTAGGCATTTTACATATCCAGCAATTTGAATTTTCAGGGAAACTTCTCTATTATGTGATTTGCCAGCTGTGCAAAAGTAAGGCTGCAGCCAGCATTTGAGCTTCTCTCAAATCTTTTTTTTATTGTTTATGCAGAACTTTTTGTTACTTTTTTATCAGTGCAACATGATGAAAACCTTCCATGAAAGGTTGCCGAAAGCACATTTAAAGGTTCAGCACCGTTTACCCCTCTCAGTGAAGGCCATCTTTGGGCGTAGCTGTTCAGAAGAGTAACAGTTTTTGGTTTGTTTTGTTTTGTTTTTAAATTGTTTAATCAGCAAGCTTATGTGGAATTATTGTGTGAATGTGGAGTTGGATGGTGGTGAGGTTTATCTGAGGCAAACTCATCTGCAAACATTGAAAGGCTGCCTGGCCACCGAAAGATCTCTTGGCATTATTAGAGTTTGTGTGTGTTTTCATCATTGCAGGGCAGCTTTAGTGTGCAACCTGTATTAAAAGTGGCAGTGCCATATTGTCAAGTATCAGTAGTGCATTTTAATATCAGTGAACAAGGTAACTAAATACCCAGTACAAACTTTGCCAAAGTGCACAAATGCAAAATCTTCAGTGTGCTTCAAACACAAATAATATTAAAGATGATCAGTGCATCACCAGATGGAGTCATATCTAAGAAACATTACCATTTTACCATTTTATGTGTAAAAAGACTTTTCACTATAACTCCAAAAGCGCAATCAACATCAAATTAACATATGTTGAGACAACATCAAACAACCACACAATCTTACAAACTTTACTGATGTTTTAAACTTTGAAGAAGCACTTTCACAGAGCGACATCAATATTTCATGTAACAAAACTAAAGGAATAGGTTTTTAAGGGATGCAGCAATATGCTGTGGTCAGTTTTAGTTCACTATATCCAAGTAAAAAGAGGAACTGTGCAAGGTGTATTCTTTATTTTTTAAATATTCCTTTACTATAAAAGACTTATAGTTGCTATGTATAAAAACCAGCTTGGCCCAGTTTTTACGAACATGTTCTGCATTTCTATTTTGTACATGTACATAAGGTTTTTAACTATATGCAGCCAGTGCCTGGCCCATTCTTTCAAATGTGTGAACAAGTCCAGATTGCACTCAACACATTTTTGCACAGCTCTTTCCGACTGACTTGAAGCATTTGTCATAAAAGCTCACTTTGTTTTCCACAAAGACTGCGCTCTTGAGAATTACAGATTTTTATACCTGAGCTAGGTAGGTAGATCGGTAGGTAGGTACTTTATTGATCCCTCGATGGGGAAATTTCAGTGTTTTCAGCAGCAATGGAGAACAAACAACATAACACCATGAGAAACAAACACCACACACAAATCTTGATAAACAAATTTCAACAGCATGTTCAATGTCTGAATGGATTTCATTAGGGTATCGTATACTGACATGAGCCTAAAGAAGCACAGACACTGTCCTTTCAACGTTTTCAGTTTTGTGTGGAGCATTAGTTTTCAATGTGTTACTCAAGTGAAAAGTACTAACCAGAATGATGACTACCTTTTGAATTTGCACTTGATCACTGTTGATAGCCTCTAGTTGGAATCACCAATTCTCTCACCAAGAAAGACAATCCACTATATTTGGGCTTGTGTTTCAAATAAGCACCACCAGTCAGATTATTTGCTTCAATCAGCTGTTGTATAAATAGATGTTAGCAGCTGTTTAATATGCAGTAATTATTTACAGCACCTATTTCCATGTATTTGCATATGAGTACTTAATCAAATAAGACTTTCTATCTCTGGTTGATCTTTTAAATGCACTAAGTGAATGGGATCGTACCTGTTCATGCACACTGCCCAATGGGGTGGAATGATTCAAAGCACATTACAGCTGCTATGCTTTACAAAGCGTCCGTTGCTATTAAACAGAGTGGAAAGAGAATAGAGTGAAGGGTATCACACACCCCTTTGAAAATAATTAATACAGCAACACACAATAACTCATGTGGAGTGTTCATCTGTTGTTTGGCAAATTTCTTACCCGACTGTGTATAAGCGGATGGAATGTGTCTGTGATCATGCAGAGAGGTTGTTGGGTTGCATATGAACTTGCACCTGAGCACCTGTTTGGGGGTTTGTGTGTGCGTGTGTGTGTGTTCACATGTAGAATAAGTATTTATTCAGGCTTAAGTGTGTTTGCTACCCACATGTAGTCACAAACAAGTCCTGTTTGTCACTGATTGTATTGTTTGTATATGCCTTTGTGTGTGTGTGTGTGTGTGTGTGTGTGTGTGTTTTTTCTGTTTGCCCATAACTTGTATTTGTCCCTCACGCTTGTGTGGTGGTTCATGTTTGTGTTTGTGATCAGCCTGTCCCAGGAGTACATGGACAATCCAAAACAGAGCACAGACAGGTGTGACATATTAGAAATTTTGTCTCGACCCACGTAAGCAGACCACAAAACAATGACTATCCATCTATAATAGCAAAGCAGAGGAGTGGGGGGAACTGAAAGTAAAGTAGAAGTGAGGGGTGGGTGCATTTCAATGGATCAACGACTTTCCAATATTAATGCAGCTCTCATTTGGAATTCAGACCAGAATGCAGGAAGATATTAATGTGGGGAAATCAACAAAGAAATTGGGTCACTTATGAGCTATTCCTTTCACGCTGCCAAAACAAATAAGTAATTTAAAATGGGTGAGAGAGATGTGAAAGAAAAGTTTTTTAAAATAAAGGAGAAAAATTAAAATTTAAGAATTTGAGTAGGAGGATTTTGCAGACTGATGTACACGATAGAGACAAAGAGAAAGATGAAGTCAAAGAGAGAAGTGAAGGAGACAGAGAGCAAGATGTTAGATTGAATTCAGCGCTTAATGAAAATGGCAGACATGAGGTTTACATTAATTGCAGCACACAGCCACTGAATGTAAAGTAATGTTGGCAGTGTGTGTGTCTCAATCTGACTTTCAAAAGGAGAGCAGAGTTCAGGGTTACATTTGCATTTTGCTCATTTAGGCTGAGAATAATTGCACAGACAGAGTTGACAACAAGCAAGCACAGACAAGATGCTGTTGAAAACATCATGCAATTTAGATGCATGCTATATTGGACTGGCTGAAGAGAGGAAGTCAGGTGTGAACTGTGAAGGCTGATACAGGCTAAAGCAGTATTGGTTTTACAGGTTAATGCGGTTTTGACTAGTGCCCGGGTGGGTGAGGGTGGGGGCTGCTAGGAAGGGATAGAAATCAGAATACATGTGTGTGAGAATGCGTGGTGTATAAGTACGCATGGATTTGTTTGTGAGAGTATGAGAAACGTATAGTTTGCTGTTGTCTTAATCTCTTTCTCCCTTTTCCTATTTCTTTAGGACAGTCCATTGATTCTTCAATCTGACAGAAATGTGACTGTCAATGCTAGGAATGATCAGGGACAACTGATGGGTCAGCTAACTGTGGGTAAGAAGATGCATACACACCATACAAAGTCATGTACTTCACTGGCAGTAAACATTTTCTTCCAAAACAACCTCCAAAACAGATCATTTCTTCAAGAGAGCCAGTCATATTGTTTTGTTTGTGCTTGACTTCCTAAATGCATTTTACCCCTTTCTGCTTACCAAGCTAAATGCTATCTTTTTGCATCAGTGTATCTCACTGCAGCAGACAGCTGTGGTCTTTTCTCAGCTTAAATATTTTGCAAGCTTTCATTGACTTAGTGAGGAGCCACTGTCTTACAGAAGACAACACCTAGAGGACATATGACATGTATGACATGACATATTGTTATAGGGTTCAAAAACTACAGCTCTGTGTTTGTCTGTTCAAGGTTCACATTCTATGGTAGCTAACAGAGATGACTGATCCTTTGATCACCAGATTTTTTTAAATAAATCTCTATTGGGCATAACTTCCAACTCAGGAGCGTTTATGTAATTATACAGACGTGTAGCTTGATAGTGGTGTATGGTACATTTCACACATCAGTTAGCCTGTGTTTTGTCATGGGGAGATGTGCCATGTGAACCTCGAACCGGGATGTGAACCTTGAATGAAGGCAGGACAATCAGAGAGTTGAGCTGCACGACTAACCAGCCAAATGCAAGTTGAGCCTATGCTTAGGTCTCATTCTGTCAAGCAGGTATGGAAACAAACACTTTTTAAATGTTCTATTTTTTGTTCTTCTGTCAGACCTTTCATGGACAGAAAATTGTAAAAGTGAATCCTAAATCTTAATTTTACACTGATCTGACAATTGACAAATGCTGTTTTAGAAAATTCAGTGTTAATATTTTGTTTGTCTTTTCACACCTAGAAAAGTTAACTGATAAGCATTACACAGACCCTTTGTGAATTTGTTTCTGCCATACGTATATGGGATCAGGATCAGAGTGATGCATTAAAATGTCATTGTTCTGCTTGTGATTATTAGCAGCGAAGTTCTCAATGGTTTCAGTTTGTTGGTGAATGAGTGAAGTAGAATGGAAAGGATAAAATTAAAATAGCCACATCTGCAGGGAAATATTACAGAGCATCAGAAGTTCAGTAATGGAAAATGGAAAGAACAGTCTGCCTCTGGTTATAGCCCAAAAGTGGTAAAGAGCAGTCATGATGGTGGAGCTAATTATGTCACTCAAACAACAAGGACAAGAGTTTTAGCTAACTGTAGAGCTCTGATCTATGTACTGCTATCAGAGTAAATTAAAAATAGTCCTTGAATAAAATGTAGTATTTTGGCCCAATAACAGGCATCTCAGCTAATCAGTGTTCAAAAGAAAGGGCTCTGGAAGAACTTTGGATGACACTCTAGTTCAGGAGATTGTGCTTAACAGCAGAGATGGTCTTAGTGATGTGGACTGAAAGTGATTATTGCGGATTCAAGTGCTCCTCTCTGGTAACTGTTTTTTTTTTTTTTTTTTACCACCCTTTATTTCCTGTTATTTTGATGATGTGCCATGTTTACTTCATCCTTTGACAACTATAACACAGATTTGTTGTGGAAGTGTTACTTGGTTGACTTGAGAAAAAGGTACTGGCCATAATATTAGATTACTGTCAAGGGTGCCAGTATAGCTGTAACAGTGGACCAGTTAATCAGTAGTTGCTCAGGGAGAGAGATGATGGAGATGACAGAAACTCTGAAAACTCAAATAAAAAGTTGGCATAAGGCACAACTTAACAGTACAAATCAGCTTTGTGCTTGGTCTCACAAAGCCATAAAAACACAGATAATGTTCAGTTACATGAGGGATGGGGGATTTTGATGTAAATTACTTTATAATAAAAGCAAACCTAAAAGGGTGGATGCTCTTAAAAAGTATGTCAGCATCATTTACTCGGATAGTGGCTACAGATTTAAAGAGTGTGAGTACAGGCGGTAGTGGTTAGCGCTGTCACCTAATAGAACGAAGGTTATGGGTTTGAGCCCCAGCCAACCTGGGTTTGTTCGGTGTGGAGATGTTCTCCCTGTGCCTGTGTGGGTTCTCTCTGTGTACTCCAGCTTCCTCCCACAGTCCAAAGACATGCAGCTTAGGCTGATTGGTGACTCTAAATTGCCTGTAGGAGTGTGTGTGAATGTGTGTTGTTGACCGTCTCTAAGTGTCAGCCCTGTGATGGACTGGCAACCTATTCAGGGTGTACACCACCTCTCGCCCAGTGTCAGCTGGTATTGGCTCCAGCCCCCAGTGACCCTCTTCAGGATAAGAGGTATAGATAATGGATGGATTTATGGAGTACTTGAAGTGGAGCAGTGGTGGCTCAGTGAGGCGAGTTACAGAGAGCGACGGCTAGTGACAGGGACTTGAAGATTATGGGTAGAGTTCAAATCTGGTATTAAAAAAAATGCTAGCTCTGAACTTTTGTTCCTATCTTTTGGGGATTTAATATTGTTTTTTTTTTTTCATTAGTCTGTTCATTCCAGAAGATAAGCAGCCACCCATCAAGACTGAAAAGCCCTCTGAACATTTCCTCAGGTTACAGTACCACAGCTGTCTCAGTTTTCACACTGAGAACCTACAGTAATAGCACCCGTACTGCAGTTGAATTAAATAACCTCAGACAATAACTGGACTTAGCTGAATTTAGCTCCTGGTACATGGACTTTGAGCAAGCAATAAAAGTGGGTGCAGAGACTAAGAGCTTTCTTATATAATTTCTTGACACTGTTCATTCTGGACATTTAATACAGATAAATTGGAAACTGATATCTTGTTACAAACTGTAATGGATTCCTTTCTGCCTTGAACAACCTAGAAAAGTATATGTAGCTTTCATTTTTACTACTGGATTTTTAAACACTTGTATGGGATACATCACAGAAGAGTGCTGTTATAAGCCCTTCATGGGAGAAAATCTGGAGTTTATACAACAGGATGGATGATGATTTCCAGTTGAATGTGTTCATTGTTTTGAGCCAATTGGAGACCAAAACATCAGAAACAGAATCAGTTTTATTGGCCAGGTGTGTCGGACACACGAGGAATTTGACTCTAGTACAGCGGCTCTCAAATGTGCATGTACATATCCCCATGCAAGGGGCAAATAAACAGTCCACTGAAGTCCATTGTCAACTCCACTGTTTTGAGTGTGTTCAGCTCCAGGTTGTTGTGGCTACACCACAGGACCAGCTGCTCAACCTCTCGTCTGTAGGCTGACTCGTCATCATCTCGAATGAGACCAGTGACCATTGTGTCATTTACAAACTTTAGGAGTTTGACAGAGGGGTCCTTCAAGATGCAGTAGTTGGTGTACAGTGAAAACAGCAGAGGGGAGAGCACACATCCCTGGGGGGCACCTGTGCTTGTCTGGGTGTTGGATGTGGTTTTCCTCAGCCTCACCTGCTGCTCCCTGTCTGTTCCCTGCGGAGTCGAGGTGTTGCAGTGCCATGTTCACTGCATCATCCACTGACCTGTTTGTCCAGTAGGCAAACTGCAGGGGGTCCAGCAGGGGGTCTACGATGTCCTTCAGGTGGGCCGACACCAGTCTCTCAAAGGACTTCATAACTACAGATGTCAGGGCGACAGGTCTGTAGTTGTTCAGTCCACTAATGGAGAGTTTCTTGGGGACTGGGCTGATGGTGTGGCATTTGAAGCAGGAGGGGACTTCACACAGCTCCAGTGACCTGTTGAAGATAAGTGTGAAGATGGGGGCCAGTTGATCAGCACACACTTTCAGGCAGGAGGGAGTCACGCTCAGCTGCGCTGATCTCCGTTGTCAGTGAGTTCCTGGCCTGGCTGTACAGAGTCCTGTCCCCACTTCTGTAAGCCTCCTCTTTTGCATGACGAAGCTGCTTGAGTCTTGCTGTAAACCAGGGCTTCTTGTTGTTGTATGTGCAGAAGGTCTGGTTGGGCACACACACATCCTCACAGAAGCTGATATAAGATGTCACAGTGTCAGTGAGTTCATCCAGATCTGTAGCTGCAGTCTCAAATACACTCCAGTCTGTGCAGTCAAAGCAGGCCTGTAGCTCTAACTTAGCCTCACCAGTCCAGCTCTTCACTGTTTTGACTACAGGCTTTGCAGCTTTAAGTTTCTGCCTGTAGGTTGGAATAAGATGGACCATACAGTGATCAGAGTGTCTGAGAGCTGCGCAGGGGACAGAGCGATAGGTGTCTTTTATTGTTGTGGGTCCAGTGTGATTTTTTTTTTTTTCCCTGGTGGGACAGGTGACATGCTGTCTGTATTTGGGCAGTTCGTGGGTGAGTCCCCTGGAACAATGAATGGAGAATCAGGGTGTTATAGCTCCAGGCTAGTTATCTGTTCTGCCAGGAGCTGTAGTGTGCTCTGTACACCCGGAATCTCGATAATTGGATTGCGCTGTCTGCGATGGAGTCGCTGAGCCAAGTCTCCATGAAGCACAAAGCAGCAGAGCATGCAAAGTCAGAGTTAGTCCTGTTGACGAGAAGGATTTCATCCATCTTGTTGACCAGGGAGTGGAAATTGGCTACGTGGATAGATGGGAGTGGAGTCTGGGTCCCTCTCTGGAGCAGCCTCGCCAAGGCGTTTTTTCCAGGTGCCGTATATGGCAGCTGCACCTCCAATCAGAATGTCCATACAGCATTCTTCGTTCACAAAAATCAGAGCAAGGTAGTTTGGTGTGAGTTGTCAGATATTCAACAGTTCTTCTCTGGTAAAAGTAATCTGGGATGCAAAAGACAAAGAAAACAAAGAAAAACAAACACAAGAGAGCACAAGTAACAAAGGCTGCCATCGAGGTCGGCGCCATCTTTCCATTTACATAAATTGATTGCTTGATTTTGTTTAGAAACAAGAGTGTCATTCCTTAGACTCTACTTTATGTGTCTGGTGTTGATGTTAGAATTCAGGATGCTACAGATTTGGAAGGTTATTGCCAAATAACATTTACAGCCTGGCAGGTAAGTTGAATGCTATTTTCAGGGAGAGGGCTCCTCTCCACTGTCTATAGATATTCATCTCCTATAGGCTGACCAGGCACTTCT